TGCCAAGTCTGAGTTTACCCTACCATGCCAACATTTTCACATACTCTATCCTAGTCAGCTTGACCTCTTTTTTACCTTCTGTCCATCATATTCACTCTCTCAGGTCTTTGCTCTTGTTTCCTTCTTTTAAAATCAGAATATCTTATTCCCTCTCTTTTCTTGAATCCAAATTGTGCCTAGCATTTCAGACTTCATATATTGTATACATCCTTCATAAAACTTTCCCCAAAACTCCAACTCCCTATTAATCCTTTATTCCTCTTCCTAACTTCCTACAACTTCTGATGCTTGTCTGTACTGTGCAGATTTTTACTAAATTATGTGCATTTCAATCCTCATTACAAACTTTGACTTTAATGATGCCATGTATCAAAGTCTCGTTTTTTCAATTGTACTATAAGCTACTTGAGCACAGGTACCATGTCCCAGTAGATTTTGGATGGGATTTTTTTTTAGCTCTTATCCAAATACTAGATATTTTGTATATAATTTAGAGAAATGTGCAAATGCGTATGTACTTGTGCTCCATGTGTAAATTAGTCACCTAAACTGAAACTCAAGGGGAGAAGCTTTCCCATAATATTTTTTGACAGAATTATTAAATATTTATCTCTGGCATCAGAAATATTTTACCAACTTTTTCTTTATATTGTATTTACACATTTCCATGCCAATGATTGTGTGTAGTAGTACTTGTTTTCTCTAGCTTTCCCCAAAGGCCAGTATTCTTTCACTTGATGAAATATGTGGATGATTTATTGATGGTGGTGTTATTTAATCTAATTCTTGCATGGTTTTCACCCAGAAATGATGAGAGGAAAGAACTACCCTTTGGAGAAACCGCCAAACTTTCCACTAAGACATTTTGCAAATAAGATACTGGATTTATTGCAAAACATATCCCAACATACAAAAGTGTATAGTAAATTCCATTCCAAATCACATAGTCCATAAGTTTCTAACTAGGGGGCTTTAGGAACTCAAAAACCCAAGTCTTTCTTTGATTCTAAGCAGAAAACTATTACTGAAAGTGCCAACAGTTGATAAGTTTGAGACATATGGTCCTATTCTCTGTGTCCAAAATAAGAATGGTGGGTTTAGCAGTAAATTGATAGTGTAAGTAAATCTAGCACTTGAAAGAATTTAATTAAACTTCCCCCATCTTAAGTGTAAACACCAGACAGAATATATCCTTGTGGTAAGGAAAGATAATGGAATTCCTCCATGGCAAATGGCTATTGCACTAGGCTAGCTCCTGTAGAAAAGGCAGGAATAATGCTCATATAAGATAGCCTATAGTTAACAGCAGATAAGGACTCTCCAATTTTGAGAGATAAATATATCACAACTAGCATGTCTGTTTCTGAGGAACTCCAACTATTCCTTCCTGTGAACTGTAACATAATAGCTGATAGGTTCCACAGCAAATGGGGAATAACCCATCTTCACCAGCCTGGTAATGTTGTAAGTGCAGCCACTGAAGGGGGGAGGGAGGATGGAAACATGTAAGGTGCAGACTTGCGTTGAGAAATATTCCAGGATACTACTAACAGCTAGGGAACTAACAACTATTATACTAGGGAGAGAAGGGAGTTAGAAACCTGAATGGCTAATTGAATTTTTGTGACTCTTATTTTTTTCAACAAGAAAAGGAGTTCTTGCAGAAAGCTTTTAAACAAACTCACGTGAATATGCAATAGATGGTAATGCACCACCCCAAATCCAGTTGTGCCATTCAACACCATGTGTACATGGAAAATATCTGTAAAAAATAGTTGTAAACAAAACTTTTGCAAACAGAGATGTTTCTAACTTTGTGTAGGTAGGACTTGAAGCTATTTCTAAAACAATGGCAACATAGATTGAAGAGTGGTTATAGGCCTGAATCTGAGCAAAATTTTGAAGAAGACAAAAGTGGTTTCATCTTTTTTTCTGTGCCTCTTCCCTTCCCACAGCCCATTCCAGTAGTGTCACTCAGAACCACTTATAATTGCCCTATTCCCCATGTTCTCTGCACCTCTGCCTTTATGTTCATGCACTTCCTTCTGCCAGAGGTTCTTTGTCTCCTTGCCTCTTGTCAGCTTGAGGGAGTCCTCCTTCAAGCATCAAAGGATACCTCCTCCATGAAATTTCCCAGATTTCCCTCTATCCCTACAAGAGATAACCTCTGCTTCCTTTGTGCTGCTTCAGTCATTACACCTGCAACATTTTCTCATGTCTTTACATGTTCGTTTCTCCTCTCTAAATTGTAAATTTCACTGAAAACAGGAGCATGCATCTTTAACTCCCAGTATATCTGTAGCTTTTATTGAAGGAAAAAGCACACAGTAGTTGATTAATAAATGTTTTCCAAATTAAAATTGATTTAATTAATTAAGTGTAAGGAATAAAGTAAATGTAATGCTAAAGCAGTGTGTCTCAAAAAGATCATTTTCTCATTTTGATCAATTCCAGTCACCACCTAGTCCTAGTTGATTTATTTGCAGGAATGCAAGAATAATATTTATCTCTACTCTGGCACTTAGATTGCCTGTCTCACATTTCTTATTATTATACATTTTATTCTTTCTCTAATAGATTGCCAGTTTCTTGAGGACAGATAAATGTTTCCTTTGTTCATTGTACACAATAAGCACTCAATAAACATTTGCTGAGTTAATGAATTCCTTGTGTGTATATAGCTCTTCACAGCAACCCAATGAGAAAAGTAAAGCATCATTCTCTCTGTCCCTTTTCTTGTCTTAGTCAAATAAACTGATGATCAGAATATACCAGAGCCCATATGGCACAGCTCAGTGGTTGAGCATGGACCTGTGAACCAGGAAGTCAAGGTTCGATTCTCGGTCAGGGCACATGCCTGGGTTGTGGGCTCAATCTCTGGTGGGGAATGTGCAAGAGGAAGCTGATCAATGGTTCTCTCTAATCATTGATGTTTCTATCTCCCCCTCTCCCTTCCTCTCTGAAATTGATAAAAATATATTTTAAAATAATATACCATATTACCAATATACCAATATACCAATTTACCAATAATAATGACTACCTTCCAACAGTGGGCAAGAATCAGGGCTGAAAATCCTGGGAGACTTTCTGCTTCTCACACTATATTTTGCTCCTTCCCTGTTTAGACCAATCAGTTTCTCTCTGCAGGATTGCCTGTTTGGAGAATTGTCCTCATTTGGTTCATTAATGTAAACAACCTAATCGAATGATGTGGTTTTGTTCTTTTTTTTTTGTTGTTGCTAGTTTCAACTTTTATTAGCTTGCAATATAGCACAAAGCAAGTCTTTTTGTTTTGTAAACAGCAGATTTATTTTATCACAGTTCTAGAGACTGGAAATCCAAAGATCAAAGTGTCAGAAGCAGGGTTGGTGTCTAGTGAGAGCTCTACCCTTGGGTGGCCCACCATGTGCTCTGATGGCCTTTCCTCTTTGCTCATGCAGAGAAAGAAAATGAGCAAGCTCTCTCTTGTCTCTTCCAATAAGGATACTAATCTTATCAAAGCCCCACCTTAAGGACCTCAATTACAGCCACACTGGGGGATTAGGACTTAATATGAATTTGGGGGAACACAAGCATTCTAGCAAAAAGCATCTTATACAGTACTCTGTATCTTTTTGGTGAAACAGCTACAATCTATAGTGTGTGTTATTTTTAAGTTTCTCAACCCAAAATTATATTTTGTATTTTTAAAACATTTTAAAAATTGAGATATGATATATATATAAAAGGCTAAGCAACCGTCTGACCATCCGACTGGTAGCTATGACAAGCAATGACTACCAGGGGGCAGACGCTCAATGCAGGAGCTGCTGAACTGTGGTGATGTGGCTGTGGCGGTTCTCAGGTGACACACCCCGGGACCAGAGAGGAGAAAGCTCTATTCTGGAGTGTGTCACCTGAGAACTGCCCTCTCACAATCTGGGACCTCTCAAGGGATGTCGGAGAGCTGGTTTTGGCCTGATCCCTGCTGGCCAGGCTGAGGGACCCTACCTGCTGGAGGAACCCCCCTCACTTCGAAGACACCCTTCAATCCATGGCCCCAGGTGTGGCTGGCCAGAGAGGGATGGAGGGAGGTTGGTTCTAGGGTGTGTCCAGCCCATCTTGCCCAGTTCCGCCCCACCAGCCACCTTCTAATTAATTTCCTTTTAATGTGCATGGATCTGTGCACCAGGGCACTAGTTAACATATAACATTATCTTAGTTCCAGTTGTACAACATAAAGATTTGACATTTGTATATGTTGCAAAGAATAATTGCATGTTTTTGACCATGCCATGCTTAATTGTCCAAAGGAGATCTTTCAGGGCCTGGCCTTTAGTAATGTATGACTACTGTCTATTTTCTGGAGCTAAGACAAAGAAAGAAATCTTCCTTGGAGCCATCCCAGAACCTATATCAAGTTACAGGCAAATCCACATTGCTTTAGTGGTTAGTCAATCACACAATGATATGAAAAAATAATATTATACATTTTATATCATGTATTATATTTCTTCAACGTTCATTCAAATACATGACTGCATTTGGATTGTCCCTTAATCCTGAGAGAGAAGGTAAGGCAAGACTTTTTATCCCCATGTGAAAGATAAAAATACAGATTCAGCATAATTAGCTACTTTGCCTAGGTTTGGAGGGTACTATTTTTCTTGGCTGTAAGAAGAAATATAGAAACTTAGAAACTACACTGAGTGGCCAGATTATTATGATCTCTGAATGCATGATGATCTGGCCACTCAGTGTTATCCTATATAATAAAATGTTAATATGCAAATTTTCCCTTGACCAGGAGTTCGACCAGCAGGCAGGCCGGACAACCACCCATGTCCCCTTCCCCTGACAAGGCTGCCTGGACCCCACCCATGCACAAATTCATGCAATGGGCTTCTAATACATATATATACACACACACTGAGTTGCCAGATTATTATGTGTTTAGAGATCATAATAAACTGGCCACTCAGTGTATTTAAAAGAACTTTTATCAGGAGCCAACGTGAATATACACTATGGGTGAAAAGACTTGAGCTCAATAAAACAAACCAGCCAAACAACAAAAGAGGGGAAACCATTTCGTAGATGACTGATAAATTTGATAGGGTTATTGTTGAGAAGTATCAAATAAATAAAATTTTCTTTCCATTACATCAGTGTCTGGCAGGAAATATGAAAGCAATGGTGTACTCTGGTTGATTAAAATAGCATTGCAACATCAAAAAGGAGAAAGTAAATTGTACTAATGCTACATACATTGCTAACTACCATGCAAAAGCTTCTAAAATACACTATGAAGGAGGTTTCCTTTATGATTCTTGGCAAACTTGAAGAAGATCTTTCTATTGATGTGCCTCTTAACTTTCCTGAACCTCAGTTTTGCATCTACAAAATGGAGGAAATGATGCCTACTTGACATGGGATTGCTGTAGGCGTGATCTATTATAGTTCAGCATCTAGCATTTACTGAATGGCTGAGTGGAGAAAAGGTTCAGTAAGTGTTACCTTAAATCTTTTCCTTTAGACTTGAAAGATGTTATTTCTCCCAAAAATGTAACTAGGATAGGTTAATTGTAACAGTTAATTTTTAACTGTTAATGACATAGCTGGAATTTCTAACTAAACAAACCTTGAACTCCTAAGTATGGCAAATAGTACTTCCCCTTGGAGAACATCTATTCTTGTGATGCTAAAAACATTTCTGGAAATAAGAATTACTTTTGGAGCCAATTACAAGGCTCTGAAGAAACCTAATCTCATTTTTTAATCATCATAGTTAATTTTTTTAATTCAAAATGTAGGGTCCAGCTCTATCACTTACTTGTCTTATCCATTTGATTTGCCTCTTAAATGACATTTGGCTATTCCCAACCAGCTTAATTTCACTTCATTTATTCCCCAGTAACCAGGATCCCATTTCAACTGAGTACATCTGAACATGTACCACAGGCTATGAAGGCAGTTTTCAAGTACCTTTGAATAATCTTAAAAGGATATTATTCAAAGACACACATGCCTAAGTTCTGTTATTTTTATTTTTAAATCAATGATACTACTTTATATTAGCAGTGCATAGGTAGATATTTAGAAGAGCATAAATAGAATTGAAGCTAAGACAAATGTCAGAGCCTTGTTTCATTGTTGGGATTATGTCACCATACTTACGTGCTCTATTTCTACCTTAGTATTTGTGACCTTCTTCAGTCCTGTTGGTAAATGTTCATGGAGTCATTCATCTTCTTACTTTGATTTTTAAGAATATGAGCAGTGTCTTATACAACTTTGGCTCCCACAAAGTACCCAGCATAGTGCCTCACACTGAGTAAAAAAATAGATTTATCAATGCAAGAAACACCTAAACTTGTAGAGAAGTTTTATAAGAATGAATGTGAGTCAAACTGACAATTGCCAGGAAGCAGGACATCTAATGCTCTGTAGAAAGGCAGTTTTTCAATTTCTTTTATGCATGTGAAATTAAGGAGGAAAGTTAAGGAAGATCAAATGAAGATGGGGGAAGGGCAGGTGGGAATTGGATTACAAGCTAATTAATAAGATTATGTGCTCCTGAGAGGGTGGTTAGGACTTCCAAGAGGTCTGAAAAAAAAGGGGATTACTCTGTCATTTCAAATATATGTTAACAGAGATGCACAATGAACAACGTTCTTGCCTTATCTTTTTGGTTTGCCTCTTAAATGACATTTGTCTAAGACAAGAACAATGGACAGGGCTCACTTAATACAAAAAGGAACCTTTTACTAAAAGTTATATGACAGCAGCATGACTACTCACCACCTGCTCAGTTAGGAATTTTTTATCAGATCACACTGTGAGGTTACTGTCACTGGACTTTTCAGTTTTATTACAGAACCCCGTTTTTGTTCACCAATTCGTAGAGTGTTTATTAGAGCTAGAAAGAGCCTTAGGAGATTGAAACTCATGAAGAGAAAGTGATGAGTCTAAGTTACACAGGGAGTTGATGTACTAGTGTAAGAGCAGGTTTTCAAACTGAGACCTTCATACTTCCAAGTCAGCTAACAGTCACATTTGAATGAATAAACTACTGGTAAGATCCCTGAACTTTGGACATCATATATGGGTTGATAGTCTTATTTCAGTAATTCCTTTGACTTCTGATTTGTTGCTGCAAATAAATCACACTTTGGTATAATGGTCCCAATCCAAGCCCATGTGCCTCTTATTTCCTAGCATGTTACTACATATGTACTTTTCTTGATGCTTAGGCAAAAATCAGTTGACACTCTATTATAACCTCTCCAGTCAGTCTCAAATACTTAAAAATATAAACAAAATTATCCATAAAAATACACACTTTGCCCAGGCTGTGTGGCTCAGTGGTTGAGTGTCTACCTATGAACCAGGAAGTCACAGTTCAATTCCTGATCCAGGCACATGCCTGGGTTGCAGGATTGATCCCCAGTAGGGGGTGTGCTGGAGGTAACCAATCAATGATTCTTTCTCATCATTGATGTTTCTATCTCTCCTTCTCCCTTCGCCTCTGAAATAAATTTAAAAATATAAAAAATACACACTTAACAGATCAACCAAAGGACCTGTACACACATATAAGCATAGTGGACACAGACAACAGGGGGAACAGGGCCTGTGCTGAGGGTTGGGGGCTTTGCTGGGAGAAGCCAATGGGGGGAAAAGGAGACATATGTAATACTTTCAATAATAAAGAGTTTTTAAAAATACACACTTCATTTCATTTAAATAATAATGTTAGCAGACATTAATGACATATTTGTTTGGATCAATATAAGCAGATCTAAATGTAAACAAACAATGCAGTTAGTTTACTTCAGTCCATATGGATTAGTAAGTAAATATCATCCAATTGGCAGTAACACCCAAAATATGGGATTATGTTCAACCACAAAGTTAGTTTCAATGCTATGATTATACTATGATTATGTTAGGCAAATGTCCAACTAGAAAAACAAAATTTTGATATTTAATGAAATGTTACTCTAAAGCCCAAATTATCTAATTGTTTGGGGTCCTTTTTCAATTCATGAAAAGTTTATTTTTTAGATACAAGAAAAATTAATTTTAATCATAGATTTAACTTCAATTCTGATACCACCCCAGGTAGTGACTTTGAATTGGATTCTTCCCCTGCTTTTCTTAATTCCCTACCTAGTCCAACCTCTATATATTTTTTTCTTTTATCTGATCATATCTCACTGAATCCAAGAAAACTTCAATGAGTGCATGAAAATAGCTCACAAAGTCCAACCCAACCAAGAGCCCTTGATGTGCAATACCAGAATAGAGGAAAGAAATTCTTCAATTAAAACCCATGTATAATATAAACAAATTTCACTATCTTATATGTAATAGATATTGGATCCAGGGGATTCATCTTTTTTAAGTATGTTTTTATTGCTTTCACAGAGAGAGGAATGGAGAAGAGAGAGATACAAACATCAATGAGAAAGAAACATCAATATTTATCAGCTTCCTCCTATATGCCCCCCACTGGGGATTGAGGCCACAACCAGGGCATGTAGCCTGATCAGGAAATGAACCAAGGACCTCCTGGTACATACGTGTATGCTCAATCACTGAGCCACGCTCCCCGGGCCAGGAAATCTATCTTTTGAAGAAAACCATGGGACAAAATGTTCCTTTGAAGTCATTAAAATTTAAAAATGAACTTATAGATAATTATATACTGCTCTTAATGATCTGGAAGGGTTTAATAATAGACATTCATATGAAAAAGCATGGTATAAAACAGTATGAACAATATAATTAGATGTTTAGATCTAGATTTAGATATATCTTAAATATAGTAATCTTGATATGGTGTGATGAAAATGGCACTTTACTTCTGTAGTTTTCCTCCCCAAAAAATAAAATCATCAGGTAAATCCCACTAATGGACATTCTACAAATACCAGTACTCCTTAAAACTCTTAATGTCATAAAAAACAAAGTCATGAACTGTCACAGCTAAAAGGAACATAAGGTCTACTCAGCCATTAGAAAGGATGAACTAGCGCCATTTGCAACAACATGAATGGACCTTGAGAACATTATTCTAACTAAAATGTCAGTCAGAAAAAGCTAAGAAGTATATGATTTCACTCATATGTGGATATAAAACTGAAAGTCAGGAACATAAATAGTAGTGTGGTGATTGCCAGAGGGAAGCGGATGAAGAGAGAAGGTTACGGTATCATAATATAAAGTGACAGAAGATTTGACTTTGGGTGGTGGGCACACGGTGCAGTATACAGATCTTATAACATAGAAACCCACACCTGAAACATATGTTCATGTTGACCAATGTCACCCCAATCAACTTAATAAATAAGTAATTTTTAAAAATAAATGTAATTTCTAAAAATAAATGTAATGTGGCAACTAAATATAATGGATGAGATCTTGGAACAGAAAAAAGGACATTAGGCAGCTGGGCTAGTGTAGCTCATTGATTGAGCATTGACCCATAAACCAAGAGCTCCCTTGTTTGATTCCTGGTCAGGGCACATGCTCAGATTGTGGGCTCATTCCCCAGTAGGGGTGTGCAGGAAGCAGCCAATTTAGGTCTCTATCATTGATGTTTTTATCTCTCTATCTCTCTCCCTTCCTCTCTAAAAAAAAATCAATAAAAACATTTTTTTTTAAGAAAAAGGACATTAGGCAAAAATTAAGAAAATTTGAATAAATTTGTTCTTCTATTAATAATAATGAATTAATATAGATTAATTAATTATAACAAGTGTACCATACTGATGTAAGATGTTAATAATAGAGAAATGGGCATGTGTTGTAAGGAAACGGTATGATCTTCACAGTTTTTCTGTAATCTAAATGTATTTTAAATAAAACTTTATTCAAAATATATCTAACTGTGGTTAACTATGGGTAGTAGAATTTTAAGTGAACTTCGTGTTCTTTCTTTTGAAGTATATAGCTTTCTACAGTTAACATGTATTACTTTAGTAATAAAAAAAATTTATTTGTAAAAGCACATGAGTTTCCATTTTATTCATCAAAATAGCATGGAAGAGATTAACCAAAAAAAAAACATATATGCATGTATGCATAGCCCATGGACACAGACAATAATGTGGAAGTGAGGGCTTGTTATAGGGTAGCAAAAAGGTGGGAAATGGGGACAGCTGTAATAGTGTTAACAATAAAATATTAAAATTATATGTATATATTAGATTTACTTATTGTGCACAGGCAAGGTTTCTTTCTTTTTTTTTTCTTTTTTTTTTTTGTGAATTTTCAAGTCTTTAAGGATCCACGGCCCCTTGTTTAGAAACTTTTACCTTAACTATAGATGAATCTAGAATCCTGTTCATAGTACAGTGTTTCCTGATCACTCTGAAAAATGCTGAACTTTCCAGGCTATTTGAAAACATTTGGAATCCCCATTTTAACTTATTGATAACTTTTCCTATGTCAAATGCTTTCCCAATTAACTAATTAATTTTTAGTTAATTAATTAAGGTTAGATAGAGGGAAGAATAGGGTAAGAGGTGAGGGGAAAGACTTATAATATTTCTATAAATTATGACTAGTTGAACCAAGTTCACACCAAAAGGACCTTTTCCCAATCTTAATATGAAACATTTACCTATTCTGACACACAAATATGTGCCAAAAAAGATATACTTTTTCGAGCTAAATTCTCTTTATTTGCACATATTTAATTTTAGTTTGCAAATTAACATAATAGATAGGGAGAAAATAAAAGGCTTCTTTCCAATAAGGTACCTGGCACACTGTATGAGATGAGTACAAGCTTCCTTCCTTTTGTTATTATATCCATGGCTCTTGCATCTTTTACACCACTTACTTGCCCTTAGATGTCATTTTAAATGTCCAAAAATGCATTCCCATCCTACCCATGGTTTATAGGAGCAAGGCTGGAGGGGCAAGGATGAACCTCATTTTAATCCATTAAAAATTTTTAATGCCTCTTAGGTGCTGGGGATACATGCCTGGCAGAGAGCAATGTTCAATAAATATTTGTTGAGTTTATGAACAAAGTTTCTGCCACTGGGGACTTTACACATTAGAGAAGGAGACAGACAAACACACAATTAAAATACAGTGTGGAAGTAAAATGTTGTATGGGATCACAGAGGTGGGACACCTAACCTTTTCTGAAGCACCTAGGAAGACATTTTGAAAGAGAAAATGCTGGAGGCAAAGACCAACAGCAGTTAACATATAAATGCAAGAAATCAGAAGGCTGATCTACTTTGATATTCAACAGGGCTGAAAATCAGCATTATATTACCCTGTTGCTGGCCAAATGGCTGAAGACAATCCCCTAACCTGATAATCCTTTTACTGTTTACCAAACTTTACCTATGACATGCCTGTTTGCATTCCTAAAAGGCAAATGTGTATTCAAGTAAATAAAAGATGATGGGTCTGGGCTTTCAGAGAGCTTTTCTATGAGAGGGAAGTTATCAGCCTTCTAAATTTATATTTCTTGTCTAGTGTATCCATTTGTATGCAGCCCCTTCTTCGGGCCACAAATGGATGCAGCATTCACAAGAAGACATCTAAGCTAAACCCCAGGGGATAAAGAGGGTTAAGTGGGAGAGGTGGTGAGTACAAGATAAGAGGCGTTGGAAAAGTGAAGAGTACAGAAGCAAAACATCTCATGGTATATGTAAGGAATAATTTAGTTAATTGAGGTGTTCCTGTAGAGGATTTATAAATAAAAAAGTTTTAAAGTCATTTTTGAACCAAATTAAGGAGATCTTCAAATGCCCAATTGAAGAATGTGTGTTTCACCTTGGAAGCATGAAGCCATTATCACTTATTTTTTTCAGTAGGGCACTGACTGACATGTATAAGTAGTTTTTCAGAACAATATTCCAGGAATCTTGGGTTGACCCGGAAGAGACAATGCTAGACGTGGAGAGGAGAATAAGAAGGGTCTTGCAGTATGAGGTGATGAGAACCTTAACTAAGATAGTGAGAATCAGAAGAGGTGAAGGCAAATGGATGCAGAAAATGTTCAAGAAGTTGAATGATTAGGATTTCTTGGCCTGACCAGTATAAGGGGAAAATGGAGATGAGCCATAAAATAGATACTCATTATGTGTATGTGCTTTATCAGTTGATTTGACTTGCCATGGTTCTCAAACTTGATCTTGCATCAGAATCCCTGGTGAGCTTATTACCACATAGATCGATGCACTCACCCATTGAGTTTCTGATTCAATAAATCTGCCTTGGGATCTGAGACTTTGCATTTCTAAGAAATAATGCTACTGCTATGGTGATGACATTTTGAGAACCATTGGATTATCTTAGCATATCTTTTTCAGCAAACTGGCCATTATGATCATGTTAATCTTTTCAACAAATCGTGCTCGAACAACTCGTTTGCCACATATAGAAGAATGAAATTGGACCTTTGACTCACACGATATAAAAATGTACTCAAAATGGGTCAAAGACCTAATTGGAAGAGATAAAACTATAAAACTCTTAGAGGAAAGCATAGGTTAAATCTTCATGACCTTGGATTTGGCAAAGCATTTTTAGGTATGATACCAGAAGCACAAGCAAACAAAGAAAATATAGATAAATAAAAATCTTTTGCACTTCAAAAGAAACTATCAGGAAAGTAGATAATTTTGTTCATTAGATCCACATTTCAGTGAAATTATATGATACTTGTCTTTCTCTAGTTAGCTCATTTCACTTGGCATAATACTCTCCAGGTCCATCCATCCTGTCACAAAGGGTAAGATTTCCTTATTTTTATGGCTGAGTAGTTTCCCATTGCGTAAATATACCATGACTTTTTTATCCATTCATTTACTGATGGACACTTGGGCTGTTTCCAAATCTTGGTGAACAAACAAAATAGAGACAGACTCATAGATAGAAATAAGGCTGAAAGCTGTGTAGGTTGTGGAGAAGTTGTGTTGTGGGGGTAGAGGGATTGAGCAAAAAAGAGGGGGGAAACTTATGGACACAGAAAACAGTGTGGTGATTTTCAAGGGGAGGAGAGGTAGGGAAAGGTTGAGGAGGGTTTAGGGAGGATGAATGGCGATGGAAGGAGACTTTCACTTGGGGTGGTGAACACACAACACAATGTGTATATGATGTGTTTTGAAATTCTGCACCTGAAACCTGTATAATTTTGTTAACCCATGTCACCCCAATAAATTCAATAAAAAGAAAAAATAAAGAAAGTAGAAAAATAACCTATAGAATAAGAGATAATATTTGCAAATCATATGTTGTGAAGAAACTTGTATCTGGAATATATAAGGAACTATTAACAACTCAATAATAAAAATACCAATAATGAAATTTGAAAATTAAAAAAGTATCTCAATAAACATTTCTCCAAACAAGATATACAAATGACTGATAAGCACATGGAAACATTAGCCACCAGGGAAATACAAATCAAAATGACAAGATACCATATCATGACTACTATGATGGCTAGCATTAAAATGTCAGACAGTAACAAATGTTGGAGGGGATGAAGAGAAACTAGAACACTTATACACTGTTCATGGGAATGTAAAATGGCACAGACACTTGGAAAAGAGTCTAGTAGTTTTTTTAAATAGTTACATCTAGAGTGATCATATGACATAACAATTCTACTCCTATATATACTCAAGAGAAATGAAAATACAGTATATGTCCACACAAAAACATGAACACAGATGTTTATAACAGCATTATTTATAATATAAAAAGGTGGAAATAATCCAAATGTCCATTAATTTATGAATTGATAAACAAAATGTAGTATAGTATATCAACACAAGAATATTATTTGGCCATGAAAAGGAAAGAAGTACTGATATAAATGTTATCACATGGATGAGCCTTGAAAAGATTATGTTAAGTGAAAAAAGCCAGTCACAAAAGACCACTTTTTTAAAACTATGATTCTATCTATAATTAATGCCCAGAATAGGTAAATCTATAGAGACATAAAGCAGATTGGTGATTTCTTAGGGATGGGGAAAATAGGAGGATAGTAGGGCAGCAGCTAAAGGGTTTCTTTTTGAGGTGATAAATGTTCAAAATTTGACTGTGGTGATAGCTGTACAACTCTGTGGATATAATAAATAGCATTAAATTGTACATTTTATATG